TAAAAACCTAATACATAACAATCTTAAAGCTCAAGTATATTAATATCCAACATATGCACAACTAAAATGAGGGAATTACATTTAAAAAATAAAAACCTTCCATGGTATTCAAAATGTATCTTATAAACTAATTTGTCTCTGAAGATAAGGATAACTCTACCAAAAATTTTTTTTCTTCTCTAACACAGTGACACATAGAATATAACTTTTTCCTTGGAAATGGCTACAAAATTCCAAACTATAATTTTTACTCAAAATAATTCAGAGGTAAAAATTGTTACACCTCACTTCTCTAGCCTAGAAATTAACAAGATTTAAAGACGAGTAAGTACCTTATGTGGTTTTAATACAATATGTCATTTATGGATTATTTAAACTGGCGAGGATGTAACATTACAGATCTCTAAAGATGGTTCCTCTAACAACTTAATGTACAGTCAACCTCCAGATATCTTAAAATTTCCCTAATGACCAATACAAGAATGGGAATCACCACCAAATTTTTTTTTTCACCACCAGTAATTTTAGAAACTAAACCAGCATTACAACTGAAAATCTTAACAGTTCTGCAACAAAACTGTTTTAGTAAATCTTTGGTTCTGTGATCCAAGCTCTTCAGAGCCAAGTTTCTTCAAACGATATTAGTTTCTCATAACCTGTCTTACTCTTCAACCAAACAGAATCTGGCTTATGCTGGCTGAGTTTGTTTATTTATCCACCATGTTTTCAAATTTTTACCTGGTTTGGACACTGCAAACCACTTCTCTCCTGGCTTCTCTAACTCCACTCTCCTGATTTCCCTTTTTTCCTCCTTTAAGTCTTCATGACTCCTTTCCAACTCCTGCAATAATGGTGTTCTCCAGTGAGCTCTATTTAGCCTCTTCCACTTTTCCTTTTGAGCCATTCTAATACACTCCCATATGTCTATGTAATATAAGAGAGAAGTTTAGCCTCACGATATTTGGGGTTTTATCTTCCACAAGCCATTCCCTGTTCTGCTGCTGGACTAATCTACCTAGAAGACAAATCTGATCAGATCTGTCCCCTTGTTTAAATCTCATTAAGAATAGAGTCCAAAATACTTACAATGGCACATAATGCCTTCATGATTTGACCGGTACCTCCTTTCCAATCTCACATTTCTCCTGTCATCACAATTTATGCATAGCTTTGTTTTTAGGTTTTTCTGTTCTTCAAATTGACCCCAATCCAAAATTCAAATGAACCTCCTTTTTGAAGCCAGAACATTACTTGCTCCCCCCATTATATACTCTTTGTACATAAATTCTGTAATGATCCTCATCTACACCTCATTTTTCAATGGAGCCATCCAAAGGCACAACCACAGTGATTAAAAATAAATAAATAAAACTGAAGACCTTGGAAAGATCTGTAGAGGGAAAAGATTCAAAACACTAACAAAAAGGACAGAAAAATGAGGAAAAGCAATTGAGTTACAACTGTTAACTAATCTGTCAAGGCTAAATGAAATCTCCTATTTCTGTCTAATACAGGACAACTAGGATGAAACCAACACTTGAAAGACTTAATTTTACACTAGTTAAGATGCAATCCCAAACTGAAATCTGGTTTAAAAAAAGAACTGCTTTTCAACTGCAGGTGAAAATGAAATGACTTTCTACTGATGAGAGACACTGGCCTAATTATGTTAGCTCTCATCAAATTAGAAAGTTTAAAACAGTAGTCAACCAAAGGAAACATACGCTAAGAGGGACTGACAAAGTGTCTATCACTAAGAAAAATTTAAAATGAATGAGAATGAAAATACGTGCCACACTGGAATCTGGTTCATTTTATTTCTTTAAAGCTGCACCTAGCATACCTTAATCATTACAGAAAAATAAGTCAAAAAAAAAACAAAAAAACACTTGTACTCATGCTACTTCACTTCTAGATTATGGAAATGAGCCACATTATATCCCTTATTCTTTCTTTCCTTTTTTTTGGGAAACTCTACCCCAACATGAGGTTCAAACTCACAACCCCAAGATCAAGAGTCACATGCCCTACTGACTGAGCCAGCCAGGTGTCTCATAACCCTTATTCTTTCTTAGGGTAAGTATTTATAAAATATAAGTCATTATTATTAGTGCACAGTGGATATGTGAATAAGCCTGAATACAGTCTTGGTATTAAGAAATCTGAATTAATAAAAATTTGTATTACAAATTGTTTGCTCACATTATATAAGAGTAGCGGAAAACTATGTTTTCTTTCACAAATTCTTAAAAAGAATACCACCTCTAGGATGGATTAATGATACTTCATGAGGAAAACAATGAGCAGAGAGGATCAAAACAAGTTCCTTTTCTTAAGTGCAGCATCTGTGAAAAAAAGAAAAACAGCAAGACAGCTCATTTCTGCTAAGTTACTACAGAAATCAAACTGGATATATTCCTGTACTTTCTTCACATCATATGCCTGTTTATTAATAGAAACATATAAGCTTAACAATTAATAAAGGTATATATGGCAAAGGCTAAATTGGTATTGAATGAATGGACAGAAAGAAGGCAAAGGCAGGAGCTGGGCAAGTCCCCTCATCACCACCTTCTCTAATACAGATTAAATGAAAAAATTCTGTGCTCCCACAGTACTTTTTACATACCTCAATATGAACTTTTTACATTAAACTCTATTTATTCACATGTCTCTCCAAAACAAATTCTAAGTTTCCTCTTTTATATTCTTAAAAAATATACATGTGCTGAAGCAGCCTGTTTTTAGATTTAGAATCAACAATTCCTTCGTTAAAAAAAATATCTAGGGCAGAGTTTTGTTTTGTTTTTTTCTTGAAAGAACATCCTTTGTCTTTTTAAAAGTTAAATCCCTACATCATTTTCTTTGAAACAATCCTAGGTGCTCCTAACCCAACTTCTGGTTGCAGAAATAAGTTTTTTCAGGGCATTAGCACCGGAAGCTGCTACTTTGTACCTAAACTTAACATTTTTTGCCCCTTTATTTTCAGACATCTGGGAAAGACCAGTGGATCCTAAGTATTCTATAAAAATAATGTTGACTGTCTTAAAACAAATGTCATTTCATGTAAGTTTCATATATAATAAGTTAAAAAAATCATTATACCATAGAAATTACAACCAGTAATAATTGTAATTAGTAAACGGTTTTTATGCAGTTACCATGAAATAAAACCTAGGTCTACAAACCCATCATAAACTAGCAAACCTTCAGATGACTGATTCCCCCTTATAAATCTTAAGTAAACCTAAGAATGTTACAGATAATGGAATTAGAAGGAACAAAAATCAGGTATTTTGCTATTTTCCTTTTCAACCTCCCCATCATCTCCACCCTCCCATACACCCCACGGCTTTCAATATATTAGAATTAAAATACTGTTTATCGTTCTCTCTTACATTTGTCAGCACTGAGTTACGAAATGTCCAAAAACTGAACATAACAAATAGAGAAGGAGGTAAAGTTTTACGAAAGTTGTATGAATTCAAAACCTCTAAATTAATAGACTCGGTAAAGATACGGGTCTTCCCCCACACTTTAAAAGGCAGCATGTGTAAAAATAAATCAGGAAAGGTAAAAGCAGAATCACAAGTAAGAACTATAGCATTATGCAGAATGGAACTTCACAATTTTCAATGTCAAAGTTCAATACTATATAAGCAACGGTATTCCCCAAATCGTTTATGACTCTTTTTTCTGCTTCTAACAATCTAAATCAACCTCGCATAAAAACAAAGTTCTTGTACCAGCGAAAGTAAATGCTAATGAAACCTGGGTTTCTTATGTACTACTACAAATCTGATGTACTATTCCAAATCTGATTTCACGAACTTGGCCCCAATCCATAATACGTTAATGCTAAAAAGCAATATACCCAATAAAGCAACCTTAAGAAACAGGTCTATATAGTGTGACACATTGAGACTACCAAAGAACAACTTACTTTAAGTATATTGACACAGGGACAAATAAGCGGTTCTGATAGTTCAGAAAAGTTACTCATCTCAAAGACCTAATAATGACGCTAAAAGGAACTTTAGTAAGTGACACACCCAGGGCGGACCGCCACGTTAAGGATACAACTCTTCCGAGGTGGAGAGGGCTCTCGCCAGCTCTGACTGCTGCTGAACCCGGATCCTGCTCCTCCTCCCAGAGGGGGTCTGCCCCCCGGCTTGCCTCCTCGCTCACCCCCTCCTCGCCCCCGACTCCAGCGACTTCCACCCCGGTAAGGCCTGCCTCGAAAGCGGAAACGGTCCAAGGCGATGTGGCTCCGCTCCCAAAAGGACGGCCGGGGGCTGCTTTCGGACAGTGAGCTCGAAGGCATCCGTACGGAGGGCGGGTGAGACCGGAACGGCTCTTTGGGTCGGTAGCTGCTGTGTCCCCTGAGGTGGCCCCGCTCCGACGCGTGCCGCGAGCGTGAGAAATTCCTCAACTGCTGCTGAGAAGAGGACGACGACGACGAGGAGCCACCGCCTCCGCCAGATCCACCGCCCCGGGCCGGGTGAGGAGGCCTTCGCCGCGGATACGGCAACAGCCCTCCGCCACTGCTGCTGCTGCTGCTCCGGCTCCGTATCTGGCTGTTGTTATCGTCGTCGCTGATTTCCCCATCTTCTAGCTCCCCTTCTTCCTTGGGCGAGAGGCCACTGGAGGCCGGGGCCGGAATATCTGCGGTCGCCATCCCGGGAGCAGCACCTTCCACACAACCTTAGCCCTCCGTCCGGGGATCCGCCCGACAATTGCCTTCCTCCTCGATTCCCTTCTTTTCTAACGGACCCGGTCGGTGCGGCCTTACCCTACTCGGACACCTAGCGGGCTTTGCTCCCCAACTTCCCGCACCCCAGCTCTTTCTCGCCGGACCGTCGCAACCCAGTTCCCTTCCCTAGCGCCCCCTTGCTCCTCCGCGATCGGGGCTCTTCCGCCTCGCGAGAAAGGGGCTCTGGAAGTGGCTCTGCTCGTGACGTCACTTCCTGCGGCACGCAGGAAACAAGGCGTCCAGTTCACGCGATAATAATTAGGACAACGAGATTCCTGGTGGGAGTTGTAGTCTTTCTTTCCACTGTCTTCGGGTTTGTCTTTCCAACCTCTATCTCACACCAACCCCGGACTCCGGATTGGGATATCTGGGTGCCTGGCGGGGTGGGCGGGCCCATTCTTAATCTTGGCCGCAGGAGTTTCATAGTGATAGGGGGAGGGGGGGAGACACCTTTTTAATTGCTCCGAGGACTGCTGCCAAAGAGACGCAGTAGTCCCATTCCCTTTTGGGGGGCGGGAGGAGGCGGTTTATGTCCGCCATGTTGGTGAAGGTAAACGTAGGCGACTGGAGCTCCAGGACTGTCGGCTTTGCTGGCTCAAGTCCGCCATATTAATAAAGAGACAGGGAAGGTTGACGCCACCACCCCCACCTCCCAATACACAAACCCGTTTTTCCCACTCCGCTTCCACGACTCTTCTCGGTGGGCCCGTCCCCTGCCTCGATTGCCTAGCCTTTGCCCGGAGGAAGCGTAGCAACCAGCGCCTCAGAACAGGCTTAAGACAGCACCGAATGAGGGGGAAAGGGAAATGCCGACCAATTGCGCCGCGGCGGGCTGTGCTACTACCTACAACAAGCACATTAACATCAGCTTCCACAGGTAACATGGGCAGGGAGTGGGGGTGACGTAAACAGGAGCTCCTAGATTGAGTGTCGCGTGTGTGGAAGGAACAAGAGGTTTCTGCTAATTCTAATGACTTCACTACCTAGCTAGTAGCAGGGAAGCATCAGTTCTACCCTTTGTGTGTGTTTCTCAAATCTGTCCAGTTTTTTTCTTCGGGGAAGATTAACTCACTTTGTAAAAGAAATCCAAGTTCTGTATGGTGGTTCCTCCTTAGAGAAAAAGTAAAAGAATATTTTAATTTTTTTTAATGTTAGACCGGCTCTTGACATGAATGATCCCTTAAAAGGAAGCGAAACCTTCCTGTTCAAGTCAGCAATCCTTTAAAAACCTGCTGTGCTCCCATCAAATTTAGGAAATTCTCACTAGATAAATTGACATGGGAAGCATTTAGATTTCTAATAGTCACATACAGTTACTGCGGAGGAGTTGTCATCGTTGATATCCGTGGAATTTAGAGATGTTAATGAAAGTGCAAAAGATAAGCTTTCTATTCTTACCGGAATAGAGTAATGAAAAGAACTTAGGTTTTGTTTTCCCTCCGTTTGCTGGAAGAGCTATCAAAAGTCTTTAGTTCTGTCAAATCAGAACTCTTGAAAACATTGTGAACACTGTATGAAATATAGTTAAGTACTCGGTAAATGTTTACCTTTTGTGCAAGTGCCTGCCATGTGCCTGAAGAAAAGCATTGAAAAAAAAAGTTATGTGCAAATAGTTCTGATTTTATATGTCTCACAACTTAGTACGAACTTAGAATGTGGAAAATTATATCCTTGACCCTTTCCTTCCTAATTAATGACTAAATGACCCCTTATTAAAAACTACTTAAAAAAAATCCTTGTGATGTTCGTTTTTTAGATATTTCATGGAAATGTAGTGCTTCGTTCATTGATCCATCAAATTATTTGCCTGACATTGTGCTAGCGGTCCAGGACTTTTTTTTTTTTTTTTTAAGATTTATTTATTTGAGAGAGAGAGCGCTCTAGCACGCGTGAACGGGGGAGGGGCAGGGAGAAGAAGACTGAGCTGACTCCCCCCGCCACGTCGGGAGCGCCACTCTGTGTTGGATCTCACTTCCCTGAGATCATGACCTGAGTCAAAATCTAGAGTCCGAGGCTTAACCTGCTGAGCCACGCAGGGGCCCTCCCACCTCCACCCCTGGAAAATTCTTATATTCCTTGAATTTAGTAGGTAGTGAGAAAGACATAGATAATTACGGTTAAGTATCACAAAAGAGACACTCGGGATACCTAACTTAGCCTTGTAAAGTCAAAGAACATTTCTCAAAGGATGTAAAATTTCAGATGATACCAAAGGATGATATCGATTTAGTCCTGTTTGCTACTTTACAGATTTTCTCTTTTATCCAATGAGTATTTGAGAAGACATGAAGGTTTTTAAAAGAACGGCATGATTAGATTTGCATATTAAAAAGCCCTGTCCCGGATCGGGCTCCCTGCTCAACAGGGAGTCTGCTTCTCCCTCTGATCCTCCCCCCTCTCATGCTCTATCTCATTCTCACTCTCAAATAAATAAAATCTTTAAAAAAAAAAAAGCCCTCTGGCTGCCGTGTGGAGAATTATGGCGTTACTTAAAGTTTTGGTCAAGCATCAAGAGATGAATTTGATGAGAAACGAGCTTATTACATAATATTAATTTACCTACTATTTCTTTCACAGGGAAATTCTCCTGCAGTGTCAACTGAGCTTAACAATGTACTTCATTGCTGGCACAATCAGCACTAGATTAGAAGAGGTGAGAGTTAGTAGGGAAAAAACAGAAACTTGGAGTAAAACAAGGGAGAGTCCACCAGTAACCTAGACTAAAGTGATACTAACAGAGATGGAAAAAAGTGAACAGATTTAAGAAATGTTTGAGTAGAAACTACTGTATGGTAATTTGATGTGGAAGATGAGGGAGAGGGAGGAGTCAAAGGCACCGATAATCTTGAATGTTTAAGAGATACACAGTGATACAGTAACATGCATACTTGACCACCATTTGCCTCCTATCAAATTAACCTTTTCATGGAAATTTAGATCTTAACATTATAATAAATTACATTCCTATTTCATAAATACGTTTGACTAACTTCTTATCTAGGATGTGGATAGACTTTATCCCCGTGTACAACTTATGTTCCCTAAACTCAACTATCTCCATTTTTCTTATCTCTTAGCTGACTCCAGTCTAAATCCCCCAATAATCTTCTGAAACTGCTCTTGCTACGCTGAGTTATCACTCTTGTATTTCTTTTTCATGGCATGTCTTCACTTCCTCCTTGAAACACTCTCTACTTTTGAATTATTTGACACTAATTTTGTGCTTTTCATCTTTGACCAGTTGATCTTGACAGCCTCTTCCTTTCTCTGCCCTCTGGCTTAGGTCTTCCCACTCTTACCAAAATGATTTCAGCTGTTCCTGTGGTCTCAGTTAACTTGTTGGTGTCTCAGTATTTCCCTTGTCTCTCTTCGGTTGCTCAGGTTCAACATATCAAAATTTTATATTAATCAACTTGCTCTTACCACCCCTCCTCTTTCCCTTTCTCAGTAAATAAAAACACCATCCATCCCAAAAGTGGGAGGTCATCCTCCCTTGACTTCTCCCCTATTCCCTCTTGATTGGATTATTACAACAGCCTCTTAAATGGTTCACTGCTTCCATTCATGCACTCCTAACCTCTCTTCTATAATCAGTGGTGTGTTGCTAAAGGTTTAATAACAGGATCTCCAGGGAAAGGGGAAAGCACCGATTTGTAGCATTTGCCCAATTTCCATGATATAAATACTCTACCATGGCTGGTTTCAAGTTACCGATATGACATCACTAATCATAGAGTCGGGAAGAAATGTGCAGTACCACACACAGAACAGACATAATTTTAAGAATACAGATAATAGTAAAGTAATTAAGAAATGATGGGTTTCAGTATTTATTACCTTTGTTCTTCATTTAAATTCAAATGTACATAATTTTTAATAATGGCTGTGTTTAACAGCTAGTTAAAACATTTATGTTGGGCGCCTGGGTGGCTCAGTCGTTAAGCGTCTGCCTTCGGCTCAGGTCATGATCCCAAGGACAGTCTCGTAATATAAAAGGCATTCAGCTATTAATAAAGACTCAAGCAAAATAGCATTATTTAAAACACTGATTTTCCAAAACATCTAATGTTTCTGAAACCTTGGTTCTATTACTGGTAGACAAGATATATCCATCAGTTTACCGCCATGTTAATTTTTTAATATTTACAGGAGGACTTATTATTACTTAAATTCAGCTTATGGGCTACATCTCCCACCCTTTGAATATGCTGAGAAAAATCCAAACTCATGAAAAACATAAGGTTAATGCTGTATAAAAGAACTGTCTAAAATCAAATATAAAATGGTTTTTATTCTGTTTCAATACAGATAATTAAACAATAATGCCAAACTAATCCCATTAATTTGTTCATTCATTGATTCACTAAGAAAGTTCATTGAGCTAATACTTCACAGGATGAAGCAGTGAAAAACAAAGCTCCTAACGAGGAAAAACAAGATCTAGGGGTAGGAATAGAAAAGTAAACAATTAGAATACAATGATATTCTATATAATATACAAACATCTAAGCCCAGTCCATGGAATTTCCTTAGGTATATGGGATTCCTAAATTGAATCTTAAAGAAGGAAAATTGGCTCAAGTTAAGGTTCAATTAGGCATTGGTTTCATGATTAGGGAGCTAGTTTTAAAAAGAGCTAGGACGCCTGGCTGGCTCAATTAGTAGAGCATGCGACTCTTGATCTCGGGGTCTTGAGTTCAAGCCCCACGTTGGGCGTGGAGCCTAGTTTAAAAAACATAGTTTTCGATGGACGTTGAGGACATCTCGATGTGTTGTGGCGAGCGCTGGGTGTTGTGTAAGACTGATAAATCACAGACCTGTACCCCTGAAACAAATAATATATTACATGTTAATTAAAAAAATAAAAAATAGGGGCGCCTGGGTGGCTCAGTCGTTAAGCATCTGCCTTTGGCTCAGGTCATGATCCCAGGGTCCTGGGATCTAGCCTCGTATCAGGCTCCCTGCTCCACGGGAAGCCTGCTTCTCCCTCTCCCACTCCCCCTGCTTGTGTTTGTTCCCTCCCTTACTGTGTCTCTCTCTCTCAAATTAATTAATTAATTAAAAAAATTTTTTTTAATCTAAAAAAGTTTCTGCAAAGTTTTCTACAAAGCTAAAAAAAATAAAAGGTTGAAAAACAATATCTGACAGTCTTCATATATCTGAAGATTCTTACAGCAATGATAATACAATGATACTTATTTGTCTGCACCTTTATTGAGGCCCAAACAAGAAATGTGCTTGTAAACCAAAGCTTGACTTTTAGCTGAGACCATAGGAAACATCCAAACCATTAAATACTGGAACAGAGATCTTTGAAATGAGAATACATTATTATTAACAGGTAAAGGCTAAGCAGAGTAGATAAATCCTCCATCAGAGGTTTCTAATGAAATAGAAAAAACTTACATATATGAAAACATGAATTGTAGAGTGACATACAAATGTTAATATTTTCAGATTAGGGTATGTTTAGGTGGTGTGATAGGGACAGGAGATGGGAGGGTGCCTACCAGTTAATCTGGTTTTTCATTTTTTTGTGCCCCTCACTGCTGGTAATTTGAGCAAACCTACTATATCTGATCTAGCCAAAGCTGTTGTTACCTAGTAAAGCTTCACTTGGGGGTTTCTGAGCCATATGATCTTTTAACATGATTTTAATGGTTCTTTTTAAACATGAGTTAGTTCATAATTAATACTTAAAGGATAAGGTAATCAAACTAAAGAAGAGCTCAACTCAAACTTAATACATGTGAATGTTGATTTCTTATGTTTTCAAGTCAGCATACTTACCCCTAGAATTTTGGGGCAGTCCCTTATATTTTTCTCTTCCTTAACAGGTATACACTGGTACATATTTTGTATTTAAAATAAATATGAAAGGAAAAACATTCCTGCTGGGCTTGTCAGCAGCATTTTACTTTTTGTAATAATTATGCTTTCTACTACACTATGTAGCTTAAGAGTTCATTTTTAAAAATATGTGCAGTTTACATGGAATTAATACAGTGAATTGTTAATTTATATAGTTTCATATCAATTAAGAAAATATTTGTTGAGCCCCTATTATCTGCAAGGCACTGTGCTAAAATAGATGATATAATGATCCCTCACCTTAAGAAACTTAAAATCTTTTATTTCACTGGAAATTTATTAAAGTGGAAAAACTACAAAAGAATGTGTTAATTGTCACAGTGAAGGAACACAGAGGAAGGAATACCAGAATCTGTCTAGGTTTTCCCTGATAAAATTTAATCTGCAGATTTTTGATTTGTCTTGACCATGTACATACATCAGCAGATCATAGCATTGTGAATTACTCGGACTTATAATGGTTCTATGTAACCTTGATCTAGATCAGTATAGTCTTGTTTATTTTTACTGCCCATGTTAAGAACTACGTTGGGAAGAAAGGTCTCTTTAAAACCCTGAAAATTAAAAGCACTTAAGTCAGTTTTTCATTAATGTTTTTGCAACTTATAAAAAATAGCATCAATTGGTTTTTGTTCCAGTGTCTGGATATTAAAATTTTGTATGAGATGGAAGACACTTTAAATCATCATCTTTTAAAATTTCTTTTAACCATTAAGGTGCAACCAGAAGTGTGATTGCTGGAATATGAGTTGCCTTTTTTTTCTTTTTTTTTTAAGGTTTCCTTTGGATCCTAAAAGAAGAAAAGAATGGGTTCGCCTGCTTAGGCGCAAAAATTTTGTGCCAGGAAAACACACTTTTCTTTGTTCAAAGCACTTTGAAGCCTCCTGTTTTGACTTAACAGGACAAACTCGGCGACTTAAAATGGATGCTGTTCCAACCATTTTTGATTTTTGTACCCATTTAAAGTCTATGGTAGGTAACATTACTTTTCTTTTACCCATTTTTACCATTTTTGGTACCTATTCTTTTTTGTTTACAAATTAGAACAATTCAGAATATATCAAAATTCATATATAATGATGTGCCTCAAGAAAGTCACAAAACTTCCTTTTGTGCAGTAAAGGTATAGACTACAATTAGAGCTCAGGTCTCCTGACTCCAGTATTCTTTCCCCAATCCAAACTGATTTTATACATTGGAATTTTACATTACTTCCAGTTATTATCAATAATTGAACCAATGGTAAAACTGAGAAATCATGAGTAATAAAACCTCTAGCATCATTCTGCTTTTGATTTTAAGATAACATTCAAAATGTGTGTGAAGAGCTTTAAGAATACCAGAGTTACACCAAAGAATATAAGTTCAGAGGAGGGCATCACAGAAAACTTCATGGAGCTCAGGCATTTAGGCTGGAGTTTGAGCTTGGAGTTTGGAACTTAGGAACGGGTTCTTAACCTTGCACAGGATAATTACGATAACATGAGGAGAACAAAAGCCAATGGGTTGAGGGTTAAGTAGAAAATAATCAAATGTTAGCAAGTGATATGTAAAAGAAAGGAGAGAATTAAGGTACATGATGAATGTATTAAAACAATATTTTATCTAGTTGGGAAAAATCTGATCAGAGAGGAAAATTTATTTGTCCACAAATGAATTCCTGTGTTTTTAATAAATGTTGACTCAATAAAAGAAACAAACTTATGAAGTTATGACATAATCTGGGAACTGGAAGTGATTTAATATTATGGGAGTATAAATTAAGATGGTGAATGGCAAAATGGTGTGAGATCCTAAATTGTTAAGTTTGCTATGTAAAAATTTTTTGTCTTTGGATAATGAGGCAAAGAGGAAGTTAGCCAGTTACAGAAACATCAAATCTGTTAGAAAAATTATTCTGAATATGAATTAGTGAGGCTCAGAATGAGGTGGACATGATTAAAGAATTTTTTAGTATATTCAAGCCAGATATGATAACAGGCCTGATGTGGGCAGTAGCATTAAGAATGATGGAGAGGAAAGGATTTATGACAGAGATATTTAGGAGGTAGAATTAATTGGACTTGATGACTAATTGAATAAAAGAGATAAAGGGGGAAAAAAAGTCCTCAGGGTCTTCAGATTTAGGTATAATGTTCCTGGCCAGATTTTAAATCCTTGAATGGAAGATGTAACTGTGAACATTTAATAAGTAAATCTATTCAGGAGCTTGATACTTGGGAATAATTTTTTATTAAGTAGAACCCCAGGTTTCAAATATTATCAAATTGAAAGAATAGTGTTTACCTAAAAAAGAGATTAAATCAGTATCAGAGATAAGCCAAATGTCTAAAAATACATTATATTGGCCTTAGTGAGAAAATTGCAAAAGATTTTTATACTAAAATCATACTCAATAACTTGAAAGAGACCTTGGAAGTCCATTGTCTATTTTCAAACAATGTTTGTATCCCTCTGAAGAGAAAAGACAAATCAAAATAAGGTGGCTGGAGCTAATTCAACAAGTTGAGAAACTTGAATCCACGATTACATGAGATGGGCAGCTGATGTTTCCTTTCAAACTTTTAAAATCAGTTTTTAAAAGAGCAGCTTAATTACTTTTATACAAAACTGGGCAAAATTTACTTATTTGTGATATTCCATAATTTATGTTCAACCCTCTAATTTTATTTGGCTTAGAAACTCAAGTCAAGGAATCTTTTGAAGAAAAACAACAATTGTACCCCAACAGGACCATCTAATTTAAAATCAAACATTAGTAGTCAGCAAGTACTACTTGAACATAGTTATGCTTTTAGGAATCCTATGGAGGCAAAAAAGAGGATAATTAAACTGGAAAAAGAAATAGCAAGCTTAAGAAAGAAAATGAAAACTTGCTTACAAAAAGAACGCAGAGCAACGCGAAGATGGATCAAAGCCACTTGCTTGGTGAAGAATCTGGAAGCAAATAACATATTACCTAAAGGCACATCAGAACACATTTTACCAACTGCCTTAAGCAGTCTTCCTTTGGAAGATTTCAAGATTCTTGAACTTGATCAACAAGATAAAACATTACCAATTCTATAAAACATTCCTTTAAGATTAGCCCACACAGAACTTGATGCCCATCCTTCATTCTATTCAAAGGTAAAGATATTTAAGGAAATTATGCCAAAATTGGGTATTTAATAAAGTTCTACATGAAGTAACATTATTACTGTATAACTTATGAAGACTAGATTATAAAAAAATGGAAACTTTCTATGAAACTTATATTTGAAAAAGAATGGAAGTGCCTTACATGAGAATTACATACTTAAAAATTTTGTTAGAAAGTTGTATGTTTGCAAGGTGTTTTGCATTTTTGTCTTTTAAAAACTTTTAAAGAACTGTCTATGACAATATGTTTAAGTTCTATTAGAAGGAAATTTGTTTTTCATGTACCAGTGTTGGGACATTACATTCTAAATAGGATGCTAAGTAAGAATTAGCCAACATTAAATATGACTTTAAAACTGCTGGGGTTTGTGTTAATTGAATTATTATTGGCACTGTGATTTGGAAATTTTATAGGAAAAAAATCTGAGGTGTACAAGGCAAGTTGTGTTATTTAAACTTTCTGTATCTGCTCACAAAATGTGACAAAAGTCAAGGCATCCTTCATGAAAATATTAGCTTTTAAGATAGATTATAAAATATTTTGAAAATAATATTTTGAATGTGAAGTACTCTTGAATCATCCAAGCAAGGTAAGGTCTCAAGTTTCTCAGACTAGAAAAACTGGTAGCCAGTTATATGTTGTGAAATAACGTAGACATTGTGACCTAGCTTTTACCTTAAACAAAAAGATAAATTTATACTAATTTTTTCTCATAATAAAAATATTACATTTTCAATTCCAAAATTGATGTGTTAATTAGGCAATGTGATACAAAGTTCCATGTTAGGAATACCTCCTCTACCCCCCCATGTATGTTGATACCAAAACTTGTAAGCTCTTTTTTCTCCCATAAGCCCACATTAGGATTTAATCACAGAAAAGTACCTACCATATTATATTTTCACAACTTATAACTTAAAATGGAATCAATTTATTGTACATATCAGCTTGCTTTTATCTCCTTTTTTAGCAACTGTACTGCATAAGGGAAGTGAAATGTATTTTCTATAAAAATACATGTGTCTGATAAAGCTATGAAAATGCTAATTATTTTACAAAATAGAATATGAGAACTATGATAGTTGCCACTTGAAATAAATATCACCAGATAAATTTTTAATTTTAGTAAGAATCCTTTCCTTCAAACAACTTTGGGCAAATCACATTAAATTTATTAATGTGTAATCAAGTTATTCAATCTTAGTTCAAGCTTCTGACACTACCATATGAAAGTAGCATGCATGTACCTAACCATAATTGTTATACATTTTTCCTGTAGGTAATGGCTATTTTATTTTATAAAGTAATTTTGGGGGGAGGTTGGGTTGGGTTTTGTTTTGTTTCGGTTTGGTTTTGATGACATTTGCTTGGCTCGTAGCAATAGTCTTTTTACAGTATTAGCACCCTTTCTTTCAGTAAGGAATGGCTCCCAACAACTAGATTTACAAAGCAAAGGTAAGAAAAGTCTATGTTCGTTATCATGAGGCACTTAAAAATCTATGAAAATCCTTTTGTGAATATTATAAACCTTGTTAGTCATTTTATCTTAAATATTGGACACAGCTCCTTGAAATCGTCATTCCATGTTTTTTTTCTAATATGGTTTCAAATATCTCTTCACTTACTGACCATAGCTTTATACCTCAAAATAAGCTGGGCAAATAATCATCTAAACATAAACTGTTTTCCAAGTATAAACTCTCATGTGGTTCATCACCCCTCCCCAATATAAAACAAAATACTAATTAATGCAGGCTAGTTCCCATCTACAATTTTATTTTGATATCAATATAACATTTTAAAAATCACAAAAATAAAACATAAAATACAAGCTTTTGGCAAAGTTAACTAGACTTCATTCATTATTATTTGAGACTACTGAATAAACTACCACTCAGTAATTTTAAAGTACGTTTGTTTTTGGTGTTTTCTCCATGTCATTTTCATGTTACCGTCCTGATAACATGCTCCAAATTCTCCCTGTATCAGGTTGTTGGATTAACATACATACATCTGTCTACCTTAAAACTAGTCTCATTCATAGAGAAAAACCTAAATCTTTTTAAGTCCTGTTTTCAGTTGTTGATAAACTTATCACTTTGACCATCTACCATAAAAATAACCAGAATTAGAATTGGGCGCCTGGGTGGCTCAGTTGGTTAAGCGACTGCCTTCAGCTCAGGTCATGATCCTGGAGTCCCAGGATGGAGGCCCACATCGGGCTCCCTGCTCAGCAGGGAGTCTGCTGCTCCCTCTGACCCTCCCATGCTCTCTCTCTCTCAAATAAATAAATAAATCTTTAAAAAAAATAATCAAAATTAGAATAGCTCTTTTTCTTCTGCTGGACCCAACACATATCCTCTGTTCATTCTATGTCTATTATTCATTCTATGCCTGCTAGGCACTAACCTCTATGAAGAACCAGCCAAAGGCTAATGACTTGATAAAAAGATGACATGATTATCTGCCCTTAAGTTCCTCAAAAGTCTTCTGAGAGAAAAAAATATATTTGTAATACAATATGATAAATGCTATAAAAGAAATCTATGTGACGTGCTTTGGTAAATGCTGTTGAATTGGAATTTAATAAGCATAAAAACTTTAGACCTTTTTCCAAAAAACTTTTCCCTTGAAAAAAAACAGATTTCTTCTTATGACTTACCAAAAGAGACAGAAGGACATCAGAATTAACCTGAATTATATACAGTGTTCTTTTAATGAGTTGTAAGACATTTTTCCCCTTGAAAATGAACACTGAACAAATTAGTTGTTAATGGTATCATTTTAACAGGAAAACATAACTAAACTACTGTATCAAAGCCAAGTACTCAAGTTTATTTGACATTTGATATTATTATAAAATAACAAATTCTTCTAACAGATTTTTACAAATAATTTAGCTCAGAGTCTTAAGATTAACAAAGCACTATGGCATCCATTTGATCTCTTGTTCTTTACAAATGTTCTGTGTGGTAGGTGGCATTATCTCCAATTTACAGATGAAGAGATCCTTGCTGTTATTTATTTATTTAAATGTTTGATATGTGCCAAGTGGCACAAAGGACAGAAATGCCAGCAATCTAGGAAGTTCAATCCTAGATTGAACAGTGGTCTTCAGCCTTCAAATCCTCTGCTCTGCTATCCACATTGTCATCCGTTATGCAACATATGAATCATGTTATTAAAGTAGGACAAGTCATGTGTCTCAAAAAACTAAAATAAAAAATTTTATATATATGTATAGTTAAGATAATCTATGAAGTCACTGTAGATCTTTTCTAGGTAGACTTTATATAATACTGGTATTTTATCTCATTTCTCAATGTTAGAATACGGGTAAATTTTAATTTTGGTATAGCAGGGAAAATAGTTCATCTTTATGCCAGAATACGGGATTCTGTAGGTATTTAGACAGTAGGAAACTTTCTAAAATTAATGATTTTATAATGTATATTAAACAATTAAATATTGTATTCTGAGTATGTTATTAAAAACTTTTTTACAAGGAAATTACTGTCATGACTATTATTTTACAAAATGTACATGAATATCTCTGTGGAAGTCTTTCCCCTACCTGGACCTCCTAAAATATTTCTGTAGAAGTCCTTGACCCTAAATTGAAGCAAACTGTAAACAAAGATATGTAAAGCCTAAAGAGGAATTATCATTTTTATTTTCATTGCTCAAGTTATATCTAAGCATACGTTATAGTTTATTTGCACTGGGGTTTTTTTGCTGTTTTTTAGGATTTTATTTATTTATTTATTTGAGAGCACAAGAGCATGAGCTGGGGTGGGGGGATGAAGAGCAGAGGGAGAAGGCCAAGCACTGAGCACAGAGCCCGGCGCGCTGAGCACAGAGGACCCAGAGGTCATGACCTGAACTGAAATCAGGAGTTGGATGACTAACTGAGCCACCCAGGTGCCACTGCACTGTTTTATACTGGTTATGCGATCTAAACCAAATACATAAAGGGCTATTCAAATTCTCTATCCTGACAATAATTAGAGGCTCACACAAAGATTTATTTGTAAATATGATTACCAAAGTATGATTTTAATAACAAAAAAGGAAATAAGCAGAAACAAGCAGAGGCAGCAGTAGAGGGAGAGGGAGAAGCAGGTTCCGGGCTGAGCTGGGAGCCTAACGCAGGGCTCCATCCTAAAATCCTGGGATCATGACCCCAGCTGAAAGCAGACACTTAACGACTGAGGCACCTGGGGCCCAGGTGCCCCAAAAGATGTGATTTTTTTTAAATTCATTTTTTATTTGATACTTTAATCCAAAAAATACTATATTAATATTCACTAAAAGACACTGAGCAAACTAGGATGAACCAGACAAGGTCCCTGCCCTCAAGACTACTGGAAGTAAATATTCCATTTGTTTATTCTTGCTCCCTACTCTCTTCCTAATGTCCTTTAGAATGAGTTGAATCTAATATAAGAAATTAGTCTTCAGATTGCTGCTTAGGCTTTTAAAATTTGTGCTCCAAAAGCTGAAAAATAAAAACTTTAGTTTAATATCTAGAAAGAGATGTATGATGCCTTGGTGGCTCTGTCAGTTAAGCAACTGCCTTCACCTCTGGTCATGATCTCAGGGTCCTGGGCTCCCTGGACTCCCTGCTCAGTGGAGAGTCTGCTTCTCTCTCCTGCCGCTACCCCCAATTCGTGCTTGCTCACACGCTCTCTCTCTCAAATGGATAAAATCCTTTAAAAAAAAAAAAAAAAGGAAAGAAAGGAGATACATTCTTATCTCTTAGGTGAACTTTCAGCTTGTTTAGATAAATTATTTCAAACCTTATCTCTAACTCTTCTCCACTCTCTTGGACTTCTATTTTCATGCTCTCCTTAACCAACTACAAAGTGCCCTTCCCTTAGCTTGGTTAATTAACAAACTTTGTCATCTTTCATGTCTTAGCTCTGACAATCCCTCTTTCTATGACACTTCCCTTAACATACTGAAGTGACATTAACTCTACCCAATGATCTGGTGTGACTGATGCCAGTCAGCTTGCTGAGGTAATCCCATTATTTGCCTGTACTGAACAGAGTGAGACAAAAATAAAGTGAGCACATAATTTGTGCAGGAAGACCATATATACAGGTAGTCAAATAAGATGGACGCTAGTATTTAATCCTACTTCACAGTTAATTAGATGTACCAAAGAAAAGGATGTTAAGTTGTCTTGGCATGTTACTTAAATTTAGAATTGTGTGTTTTTTAAAAAGGACTCAGTAGTTTAAAAAAAAAAAACTACTTTTCAAAGAAAAAGTACTCTGGGTTAAAACATTTGGGTACTATATCTGAAACTCTTGCCTCCTTACGTTGTCAGCAGTCAACTTTCCGAAAAAGTTCAGATATGCTGTAATTATCACTTAATTTTAACCCAGGCACACAAGTTAATTTCAAATAAAACATGGCATAAGCCACAAGATTCAGACTTAATGTTAACAAGACGTTCTTCTAAATGAATTGACTGAATGCACACACTTAAAATGAGAGGTGTAGGAACAGATTTCCACAATGTAAGTGGTGTCATGACTAAATTTGAGCTCAATAGCAGAACTATGCCCGGCTTTATGTTTACCTCTCTAGCAACCAGCAGTGTCCCGCAGATTATAGGTACTAAACAGTGTCATTTTAAATAATTTTCTGTCATAAAATTGCTCCTACAACACAATATATACCCCTTACCCTTAAAAAAAAAAATCCATAATATTAGGGGCCCCTGGG